GTAAAGAACCCCCTTCTAATCTCCAATCTAAATCTGTTCCCCTCCAGCTTGAACTTCTTTGTTTTTTAACATGATCACTGCACTATGGGGATCATATGGCAAAAAAGTTGTAACATCTAGAGGAACCTTAAGAGCAGCGTACAAAGTGGTATACATACAAGGGCCTGTAAATTCTCAGTATCAGAGCCAGGAGTCTGGGTGTGCTCTGGCCATAGTTACCAGCTGGGCTAAGAGTTCTGGTTTGCAAAAGTACAGTACAGGTTTTGTATCTCAAGAATGAGGAAAACCAGAACAATTCCAGCTATGTCCATAACGAGCTGAAAATGACAGGTAATGCAAACATCTGCAAGTATTTCAGTAAAATACCTGAAAAATATCCACCAGAAGAATGAACAAGATTTAAAAGTAGTTTCCCTCGCTACTTATTCACAGTTAGATGTCTTAATAAATATCCCAGCAGCGCCAGAGGAGGCGGGGGGCCCAGCGGAGGAGTTGAACATGAGTCAGCAGTGCACCCTTCCGGTGAGGAAGCCGAACCAGGCTGCACCAGCACCACCAGCCGCTCCAGGGCAGGGATTATTCCCCTCTTTGCTACTCCTAAGGCCACGGCTGCACTCCTCTGTCCAGTTTTAGGTTCCCCAACACAAGACTTCAATATTCGTGCACCTCCAAAGGACTGGAGCACAGGAAGTGCAAGAAAGGGCTGATAGAACTCTTTTCCCCAGAAAAGGGACAGGAAAGGAGAGGTATAACTGCAGCCCACAGTTACACATGGAGAGAGCTGGACTCAGAGACTCGCATCAAAAGAACAAGAGCCTATGGTCATGATATAGAGGGAAATTCTAATGAGATATAACAAAAATATTTGCATGGTGAGAAAGGTTAGGTACTGGAACCGATTGCCTAGAGACACTGTGGTATATACATCCATGGAGACATTCAAAACTTGTCTGGACATTCCGATCTGACTTTGATATCAGCTCGTCACTGAGTTAGGATTGAGTTAGACAACCTCCAGTGATCCCTTCTAACTTCCATCGCTCTATGATCCTCTGTTTGCTATTTTGGAGGAGGATGTGGGTAAAAAATGAAAGCTGAAGGTGATGGTAGATGCAAACGGGGGTTTATACCAAACCAGATTAAAAGTGCTTATTGTCAATATTATCAGTAGAAAAAATAATGAAGAATGATAATTTAACCATATATAGTACTTATTTTTTGGAAAAGCAAAGATTTATTCTGTGTAACATTTCCAGAACTGTTTCAAGAAGCTTTGTAATAGCCCTTCTGGAAAATTAGCCTCACCTTTAATTCTGATTGGCCATGCATTATAACTGTCAGTACTTCCACAACAATAAAATGCTTCAAGTTACGCCTTTCAGAAAGATTTATAATGAGAAGTTAGAAAGAATTAATTTTGCAATACGCAAAAGCAGCAAGGTTCAAAGATACTGAGTACTCCCGGATGTATTTATAATATACAGGGGCTTTTTCCCCACTTGTGAAGGAAACAAATCTTTTTATTATTGTCACAGAACTAACCATGATGTTCTGTTGTATCCCAAATACTATCATTATAGTGGTGGTGTGGTAAAACACACATAACTACGTTTAAAACCAAATGCTCAAGTCAGGAAATAGTTCCTAAGTAATGTTTGGTTTGAGATCCCTCAAATGTCAACAGATAGAAGATAAATAAACACCCAGTCTGTTTTCAGCATCCTCCAAGGGATGCTGATGCACAGTAGGTTGGCATAGATGCCCCAGACACAGTTCTCATCTTGTTTCAGTGACTATCCCACATCTGAATATGTTTTTAGCCTGTGGCAGAACTGGGGACCAAAGCCAAGGAGCAGTTCACTGGCAGGAGAATTCCTGCCAACAGCAGGTGATAAAATCAGCTGGAGAAAGAGCATGTGACACTGTCCAAAGGGTATCTCTACAGCGCGGTTGGGATCAAATAGGTACCGTGCATCCTTATGTGTCGCCTTGGTTTGTTGGTAGAGTTTTGACAGCAGATGTCAGGTGAAGGCAGATCAGCCAGGTTCAGAACACATTCCAGTTTTGTTGGCTTCACATGCCTGTCAATTTTCATAGTCTATATCAAGCAACATATCTCCTCAGCTGGTGCAGGCAAACTTTAACCAAACTGAAGCAGAGTACAGCCAGCTGGGCCGCTGGTGGAGGCAGTCTAAACTACGCACCGTTCACAGCAGATGTTCACACAGGGACTCAGTACTTCAAAAGCTGTATGTTCTGCATTAATCACTGCATACTCCAAATGTGGGCGTATCTCATATTTAGAAGCCTTGAAACTTTTTTCTTTGTTAAAGACACGGCTCTTCATGCGAGATCATATTGACCTAGCATTTATTAGCCATAGAGAATATAGTAAGCTTGTCTACTCTGAGTCATTCCAGTGAAGTCTTTAGCAGTATAGAGCATTATAGATGACTGCTCATTTCTGTGCATTCACCTTAGTTCACGTTTAGGACTGTTAAGGATGTTAAGCATCATATAACAACCCCCTGGCACAGAATTCACTGAACTACTGTGCAGCCTTTGCACCAGCTGTGCTTGGTAGACTACAAAGAAGCAGGTACTACAGACATATTTTTCAGTAAAAGTAATCTAAAACACAGTACCAACATAATGCCACAGAGGAGGAAAGTATCTGTCTGAGCCACACAATAAGGACATAAATGAAATGGCCTTATTAGAGTGCCAGAGAGCTACATCCACAAGCAGGATTAGGACCAAGCATCTTTTTTGCATATGCAGCATCTCAATGTATGAGACAAAACAGAAGATTTTAAACGTTGATCAACTTCACAATTTAGCCAACACCCATGTGTTTCAGCTAAAATCCTGACACTGACTTGGAAGACAGATTTTACATTTGCAGCCCTTCTCCCTCAGACTTCATCTCCTCTGCCTTTATGACAGAAATGTGCATTTCACCGTCAACTCCCAGGAATTCATTCCTAAATGGTTAATTGAGTCTCATTACTGTGATGTCCCAAACCCAGTTGCAAGACATTGCACATTGCAAAAGGCAAGTCAAAAATTAAGGCAATTCTAGTTACATGAACAAACAATTCCTTCAGCCAATTCAAGCTACTGAAGACAGGTCTGTTAGACTGTCTTAATGCACAGAAGAACAATTTTGATTTCCCAAGTGGAAATCTTAGAAGCCAAGTTTCAGCACAAAAATGTTTTATTAGCAAACTGTGATAACCCCTAAAATCAAAGACAGTGATATAATAATGACAATGTTAACATGCAATGAAAAATATATTAACTTACTGAAACAAGAAAAATGCAATCTATTTCATTTTCTAGAGACTCCTACATAAAAGTAAAAAATAGATCAGTAACATCCTGCATCTGCTACCGAGCGTGAAGTTGATTCCATAAGGATTTTTGCCAGTGTTTCATCATTCAGCACTGGCTGGGATCTTCAAATGTTCTTATACTGGCATAGAAAGTTGAGTGAAATGTGTGTCAAACAAAATTCCTAAATACAGATAAAGCCAGCTTTATAAAGATGGGTAAATCTGTACGTAATTTAAAAGCACGTGAAATAACTGCCTCTGACTTGGTCACTACAATTACATTTAAGATAGTAGCATTGACTGTAATGATCTTTCCATATAAATCAAGATGTCAGAGCCATTGTTATAGAATCTCTGCTATAATTCAGCACTTACTGTCCTCCCCTTGCATGACGTAATTTTTAAAGGAAGGCCATTCAAAACAGCAAGAGAGACAGATCTCTTATCCCAATGAAAAAAGTCTTTCCCAGAGGTGAAAAGTTTCATAAGTTCAAAGCCGATTCCTCAATTGTAATTAATCATTGCATCTTTCCTGCTTCTTTTTCCCCCTCAAATTATGAAATAGCATATCTGGACCACTTAATTTTTAGATGGATTCAGAGAGCTCTTTACTGTTCAAGTACTATTGAAAATCCACTTGTAGGGAATAACAATATTTAATGAATAAGAAATCCTAAATGGTGCAAATATCAGGAAATAAGTTGCAATTAACATTGAAAACCCTTGTGTGCTGGAAAACCAGTAAGTGACTTCCCACACTAAAACTCCCTCTTCAGCTGCCCTCTTCTACACCAGGGTGGGAGCTCCTCTTGGACTTCCGAGCCAAGCAGCAGTCCAGGCCAGAGAGCTTAGTCCTGTGCAGTGCTAAGCACCTGTTTCAGAAACAGCAGTGATCACTTTACAAGATCGATGCTGCAGTGCTAGCAAAAATTTTTTCTAGAGCTGTTACAATGTTAAGGAACATAAAGCGGGTACCAGTCACTTCTGTCATTCCACAGCCTCACAACAGATTACATAAAGAGATGTTTTCCAGCAAAGCAATTTCTCATTATCTCTGGAGTTCGGACAACCCCACTGTGGATTTTCATGAACTACAGTAGGAAATTAGAAATATCTGGTTAGCAAAAATCTAATTTAATAAATATAGTGAATACAAGAGTTGGTTCAAGTTTGCAAGCCAATTTATAGACTGTAGTGGATCACAACAATCCAGCTTGATACGATTGTCCTATTACTGCTATTGTCCTCAAATACATTCAGGTCTATTGCTTGCTCTTTCTTATAAGCACTGCAGAATATCTGCTTATAATTTTACATCTTACCCCTGAAATCATTTTATGGATCTACTATTTTGAGGTTGTTTTTACAGCCCTATGTCATATTTGCTAGCAAAATTACTAAACTGACCAGCACTCAGTGTGCTGGAGAGTAAGATTCCATTGTAAAAGCAGTCCTAATGAAAAGTTGAGTTCCAGGAGCGAACCCCAAAATACTTCAGGATATTTGATGAGTGATCAATGAGGACACTACTCTATTTTTTTCCATTTTAAAGTACAGAGAGGCAATTAGAAGCATCCTTTTACAACTGCTTGTAGGGATTATTCATGATAGAGACCAACAGTGAAGTACATTAGACTAGCAAAAGCTTTAAATAAATTTTCCTACCTTATCTGCCATTATCATGGAGGCTCCGCCATGAATTCCAAGAATTGGAATAGAAGTCTGAGATGAAATAAAATCCAAAATCTGAGCTACTGCCTCCTGATCAGTATCATCTCCAAAAACCACTCCATGGATCTTGGTGCCTGACATCAAGTCGCAAACATGTGTTATGATGCTCTTAGGGTCAGTCTGGTTCACCAGAAGGGTCACTACATTGACATCAACAGTCAGGTCTGCTGACATTTCCCTGGTCCAGAGAGCTCTGATATCTCTCTCTGTGATATCCTTGGTCCTTCCCAGAATCACTGCAATGTTCAGGATGGGATAACTTTTCTCCGCTCCATGAACAAGATCCAGAGGCGCCAGAAGAGCTTGGAGTACCAGGAGAGCACAGCCAATTTTCCTCATCTTTGCCAGCTTTATCCCCTGCAAAAGTGATCACATTGTATGAGAAAAACAGAGAGGAAAAAAATATATACTGTATATCTCCAATGAAGGTTTTAAACAGAAAGCTTCTGGACACAACGCAAACTTTAGCAGCTTTTCATAAGACATTCTTCACCTTAGTTTCAATTCAAGCCTCTTATATCCCCTCAAAAAGTTGGCTTGCCAATGACAGTATTACAACTGGTCTCCCACAAGCAAGGCAAAAAATGTAGCAGAAGTTCAGAGGAAAGGCTCATTAAAACTATTCCTGGATGCCCAACAAAATTAAAATGACTGACATAATTTAAAAAAGACATCCTTGCCGTCCTAAAACAGGTAAAGCACAGAAATCTATTTTCCTTTGTCCTGAACGTTCTGTTTAAAATTTAGTCAGTCTAACAGGAAAAGGTGCTTTAGCTCAAAATGAGAGAAGCAAGTCAGAGGTCTGCTGGAAACCCCAGTCCATATACTCCATACATTTCACAGCATCCCAGAACCATGATGTTTTATTTCTGAAGATCTCTCCTAGACAGCTGCTGCTCAAGCACCGTCTACTGCATTTCTGGAACAGGTTCAGAAGTACAATATTCTATCTTAATTCTTCTCCCTCCTCTTATATGGCATTCACTTGAGCATCTCAGAACTGCTGATCTCAGACACAAAGTTGTCACTGGTGTTGAAGGGGAGGGTGTTCCATAAATGAGCATCACTGCATTGGCTTACTTCATGTCCTCACTGAATCTCTGTAGGGGGCTGAATATAGTCAGAGTAGGACGGGAAGAGAGATGAGCCATAGAAGTGATCTGAACTATCTGAAGGAGGGAGAAGAGGGAGAGCAGGTCTGACTCTGCAAGATCTCCCTCTGTTTCTGTACCCCGAGGGATTTCCACCCCCATAACTGGCTCTCTGCTAGCTGCAAGAAGGGAGTCCCTGTGCCACATAAAGCCGAGCTTCTTGCAAAGTGCCACGCAGAAAACAGTAACAGGGCTGTCCAATCAGGGGTGGCATTTTTCACATCTCCCCTCTCATCCTGCCAGCCCTATCTCCAGCATCAATCAGAGTCATCTGCTGCTGTAACAGACACCGAGACAAGGGCTTGCTGTATCATCACCTCCTTTCGGGCCAGACGAGGAGATGAGCACTTGAGAGACCATTTAATTGCAAATCAGTGCCACGGTGCTTCCTAAGTCATTGCGCTGCGGGGCAGCTTCCCGCCGCCGCAGCACCAGAGGCAGCACGGAAAGCGGGAGAAATAAACCAACCTAAATGCCCGCAGACACGAAGCCGCTTCAGCTTCCTTCAGACCCCGAGAAATACTAATGATAACAACAACCACCACCCACAGAACCCCTCTTTGCCCGCCTCGGGCACAGCTCCGCTCCCCGTAACCAACCGCCCCGCACCGGGAAGCGCCCCCGGCTCCCGCGGCGGCGCGATGGCGCCCCCTGGCGGCGGCGAGACGCCGTCCCACGTACCCAGCGCCTCAGGAGACGGAGCGGCGGCGGGTGCTGGTGGTGCCGGTGCCGGTGGTGCCGGTGCTGGTGCAGGGCATGCCGCGGCCGCGGGCATGTCGCGCCCCTCGGTGCCCGGGCTCAGGGGCGGCCTCCGCGCTGCTGGCGGCACGCGTGATCCCCGCCGCAGCCTGCGAGCGACATGGCATCCCGGGAGGAGAGCTAGGCGGACAGGGAGACAGGCAAAGGCGGGCTGGAGACGGGACGGGACAACGTGGGGAGAGGAGGAGACGACGGAAAAGCCATTAATCAGGATGGAGATTTGACGGAGGGGGAAAAATACATATGTAAATAATTCAATCTCTTGTGGCATGTGAACTGAAATAAAGTGACGAGACTCCAAAGTTTCCCTCCCCCCCGCTCTTCCCCGCTTCACTTAGAAATAAATGTAAGCTCTCTCCCAAGAGCAGCGCCCGTGAGCCCCCAGCCGTCCGGGCAATGTGCCTCATCCTATCCAGGTCAGGAGAATCCCGGGCTCCCGACCGCTCCTCTGCTTCCAAGAGAAATGCACGGGTTTGAGCTCTAAGGGCAGAGGCATCCAACCTGGAAAGGGCAGCTAGAAGCAAACTAATTCACATGCTCAAGGCCAGGAGTTTTCTCGACAGGTTCAAAACAAGCATATTCTGAAAACAGCTGAATCGCTGTGGGATAAAGCTATTTTTGATCTTGTGACGGAACAAATTCATCCTCAGTTTATCATAAACAAACGCAGGGAGCCGCACATTAGCAGACCCTCCACCAAAAGCTCGGGTTGCTTTGATTTTTTCATTCACTATTTCTAGCAAATATACTTCTTCAAGCAACCTCAGTTAAATGTAGGACACCGGGGCGCCAGGCAAAGGCGCCCGGCGTTCCCCAAGCGCTCCCCGGTGCGGACGGGGAACTAAGAGCCCAGCCCGGAGCGGCCGGGGCCGGTACCGCGGGCATCCCTGCGCCGCGCCGGGGCTCCCAGCCCCTTCCCAACTCCCGGGCGCGTATTAGCGCCGGCCAGAAAGGCGATACTTACTGCATTCTCCCTCCACATAGTTCCAGTTTAAAGATCCTCAAAGTCATTTCAGTAGATTCCCTTGGAAACAACGAAGTGGAAAATAGGTCCCTCAATGCCTGGATTTCATCCTGCAACTTGTTCCCACCGCAGTAAATACAAGCCCGGCAGCTCTTTATCGCTTGAAATCCCGCATGATCAAGTTTTAGCAGAGCCATCGCAACTGAGATTTGCTCTTTACTTTTGGCAGGAGGCGGCATTTAAGCGTCTTCATCTTTTTTTTTTTTTCTTTCTTTCTTTTTTCCCCCCCCTTTTTTTTTTTTTGCTGTTTAAAGGGCAATTGCAATATTGGTGCAGCAGTTCCCCAGGACGGCAGCCTCGGAGCCCCCCGCGCTGCCCTCAGCTCCCTGGAAGCGGCGGGGACCGGCGGCGCCGGTTGCTGAAGGCGCGGCGGGATCCAGCCGGCGGCGGGCGCGGGGGCCGCCTGCGCGCCGCTGCGGGGACTGGCAGCGCCGGCCCGCTCCGCTCCGTTCCGCTCCGCTCCGCCGCCCCCGGCACCGCCGCCCTTGCAGGGGCTGAAACTCACGGGCGCCTTGTCAAACCGAGACCAATCGCCGCTACTTTGAAGGCTCCCTCCCGCCCCGTTCCGCTTCCACAAGCACCAGCGAATGAATCAGAGCCAGGCGATCGGGGGAGGGGGTGTCAGATCTGGGGGAGAAGCGAAAACGCCAGGTTTGGGGCAGAGGAGTGGGAAACTTGAGCACGCTTCCCACGTTAGCAGCCCCAGCGAAAGATCGGTAGCCCAGGAAACCCCAGAGTGTTCTCCTTTCCCTTGATGCAGGGGCTGTCAACCAGAAATCCCTGCCATGGGCTCAGGGGAACGAATGTGGAGCAGCAGCTTCAACACTAAAAGCAGCCCTAAAAGCTCCAGACCGCAGCCAAATATCACAAAAATGCTCTGTAGAAGCTGGCTCCATCTGGGCATCCCCGCTGCTCCATGCCCCCCTTCAAAGCATTGTGCCCGTTTCTCCATCTCCCACTCATCTAGCACAGCTCTGGTGTCAGACCCACCTTGCTGCTGAGCAGCTCTTTCCTCCTTGCCCAGACCCCGGAGCACCACTACCCCAACCTCCTCCCTTCTCCCATTGCTCTTCTGCTTTCCCTTTGCCACCATCCTGCTCCAGCTGCCACAACTTCTTTGGTTTTGCATGAATGAACATACTGGCCAACTACTGCATAGGTGATGTCCTCTTCTGTGCTCCATCCTTTACAACCATCTATATTTCTAAGCTGAATACTTCACAGAGTAAGGCCAACTCACGCATTTTGACAGACCCACTCAACGAGACACCTATGCCAGAGGAAACCTTTGGGTTCAAATGGGATAATGCCACCTGTCCACTCACCAAAGTTTGTTTTTCACCACATTAAGACACAGAACACTGAGAACTCGCTCCCAAAGACATTTAACAATGCATCAGCTTTACTGCTTTTGACAGTCTCTTCATAAAATTGCCCAATAGGTCTATGCCTTTTTATTTCTCCTTTGAAAGCTCTCACCTCCTAACTTATTTAGAGATCACTTCCTTAGACATCGCATTAGTCTTTCTAAGCAAAGCAATTAAGCAGCTAAAATTGTGCCTTGTATAAGTTTGCTGTTTCATGGCACCTTTGCACTTCACCCTTGATGCACACTTTTCTCCTGTAAATATTACAGAGGAGTTTGTGGCATTTACTGGAGATGAGGTTGCATCTCCATCCTTGCACGAGGGCTATTTCACTGTTATTGTTCAGCAGATTTATTGAAATAGCAGCAAAACCAGGGATTCAAGATCCTCAAATGAATGGTAAAAAAATGTGGTTCTAACACAAGTATACAAACTACTAGAAGTGACACGGTGTCTTTGGAAAATACTTAGTGTACAATATGCTGTGCACAATACAGTGACTGAACTTAGTCATTTGAAAGACCAATACAAGAAATAGCCAAGTTTTCTAATTTAACAGACCCATGTGATTTTCATTAATCTAAATTTAGACATACTTTAGCATTATTTCAAATATTTTTCCTCAATTACTCTTATAAACGTTTGTGAAATATCACATTAAAACCTAGCTCAAATTAGTTCTCAAATTAGAATTAAAATAAAACATCTTAAAAGTTTGCCCAAACGCATCAGGACCAATCTTGGCAGTACATGTGCAGACTGCCCAAAAGCCTCAAAGCCAAGCAGATTACTGCCTACAGACTGGAGTACATGCTGCAAAATTAGACTGCTATTTTAATAGACACCTGTAGTCCATTTCTAGGTATATTTGCACAGTTTAATTTAAGATTAAAAGAAAGACCTGCAAACATGGTAAGAAATCAACTTCACTCAGAAAACAAAATTTGCATTTAAGTGTCTTGAATTTAGGCTTGTAATTTGCGTGTAAAAAAGGAACACGTACTTCAAAAGCAGTGTAACAAACACTAACATCTCTGCGCTTGGCAGATTAAGTTACAAATTTAGTATTTTCATGGAGAACATTTATTCTGAAAAGCAGATGGATTGATACATAAGTGATCACCTTCTCTACACAAACAGCTGTGCAGCTATCTAAAAGAAGCTACACCGTAACTTCAAGAAGCTTGGAACCCTGCACTTCTGAGGATACTTTCCAGCAGGGGTTTTCCTATACCTCCTCCTGCTACAGAAACCCGTATTTAAAGGTCAGAAACTTTCTTTTTACTCAGTCCCTTCCAAATCAACATTAAATTACAAAAAGGTTTCCCTTTTCCGAAAATTTCCCGTTGCACTCGTCAACAGAAACAAGCAGCCAAATTATCAGGTACAAGTAATGTTTCCAAAGGCGGCGGGGTCTAATGGTCTGGCACAAGGCACATTTCTGTCCCTGTTGCTGACTCGGTGACACTGTGTCTATTACTTTCTCTCCATTTGCTTTACTTTACCAGGTATAGAATGCTTACCTCAGACATGTTAGACAGCTAAATTGAAAGCCAGATTTATCCCCCAGATTCAGGAAAACAACTCCATCATTTTCCTCTTGCTCTTAGAAAGAGCAGTGTTAAGGAAGGGAAGCACAGTAACCCTTTTAAAGAAGAATTTGTTCTCATGCAATGATGCTAAAGTTAGCCAAGAAAAATACTTCAACACACTAAATATCAAATTACTGCCACTGTATTTTCAATAGAAGTAGTCTTTGTTGTAAGGGTTTAAGCCATGGTTCAAGAGATCTCTAAAACAAATTGCAGACCTACTCAGTAATCCTTGCTACATGGCAACACCATTACACAAGACTTTGTGTTTTGTGAAACAAAATGGTAACGAGAGACTAGAGGTAACTGGCAAGGTTAGGGGAGAGAGGCTTACTTAGAATTAATTCCAACTTTAAAAATGTTTCTAGTTCCAGCAATAAACTCACCTTACATTTAGAGAACTTTGATGTAACAATATATTTACATGCATCTACCTTATCCGCCACAAAGATCTGAATTCACCTACCCCCGAGATAACTCTCAAGCAAGAATTGAAAGCAACATTGATGCAAAGCCATTTTTCAGTACCAGGTAAGATGAAGTCTGAAATGAAACCACTTGCCTCAACAAGAGTTTAATGCATAGCAAACAAGGATACAGTAACATACGCTTACTCTTGAGGGGCAGCAGAGTTACATACATGCTAAATGAACCCAAAGTAAAAATGGGAAAGAACTCAATTGTTTTCAAACTTGCTAAAACATTTGGTCACAGATGGCCCTCTTATTGAAAACTGGCTTCGCTCCTCATTTGGCAGTGTCCTTTCTTGCACAATTTACCAAGTCATGCATGAAATGATGGCCTTAAGCTACTCTCAGTTTTGCAAAGGACATGAGCTGGCTGCCACGGAAAAATAGCAGGCAACATCACTGAATGGAGCTTGAGGCTGTTACAGCACTTCAGCTTCTCTGCAAACAACTTCAAGCAGGGAAGGAACACCCCAGGGACGGTTCAGTTGGAGTTCCTCCTTCCCACCTCACCTCTGATTATCAGCGTTATTCGGGATTCACCAGGATTGTGTCTTTGCCTCTTCTGTAATCAATTTTCTACATCAAATTAATCTTTAGTTTTATTTCCAAACTCTGCTATGCAGTTCCCAAGACAAATTCTCTTTCTCTGGGAAATCACTGAATTAGTCAAATCTAACTCTGAGGGTCAAGCCAGAATTTCATTATGAACTCTGTACTTTTTAATTAAAGCTGCTCTATTAACAAGGAAATCTGTGTCTCAGCAATGCAGTCCTGTGAAGACTGTGTCAGTAACAATCCCATTACACATTCAACTGCCTGCACAAGGTCTGGGCTTCAGGGAATCAAATCAGAAGTAAATACCTAGTTTAAGACTGCTGCTCTTTTCCCCTTCCTTCTCTCCCCCCACAGAAATTGTGAAATATCAGTATATCTCTAATAAAACCTGCTGAGAACACCCCAGAAAACATCTGAGTACTGGTACAGCTTGTTCATTAATACCTAGAACAGTAGTAGAGGAGCAGCCAAAGATTGCCGCCATTTATTTAGGGCCAACACACGATCTCTGAATGCTCACTGAATTCAGTAAAAGTGACAACCCTTTATGAATCAGAATTTTAAATACTATTTTAAGTCTTCTTTTCACTCACCCCCTGAACCATATACATCTGTCTCTTCTGTATCTATTTCTGGACAGCACGATGGGCCTCGTAGCCAAAGTCATTACTAGCTTGTATTAGTCTATCTACAGGATGCTTGGAATAATGACAGGAATAGTTTTGCTCCTGCCTCACATGGAACAGTCTCTGTGTCTCCATATTTGTGATGGTCTATGTTTATATAGATTTTATATACCTAAAAAAGCCCCTATGTATATAGCTGATTATATTTTTCAGTTTTACCAACAATTTGTTTTCAGTCAGAGATTACTATAATTTTGACCTTTTGAGGAAACACCACAATACTGAGTTCCAAAGCCTAGTCCCTTGAATAAGTATAAGATGTTCAAGGGGCTGGACAGACTTGTTACATTGAAAATACTAATCAGAAAAACACTTTATGAATCTCGAAGACAGGCGAGCTACTAGTCTTACCGATATTAGTATTACTTGTAAAACAAACTTTCACAGAATATTCTGAACTTATTTCACTTAAAATTTGATTCAACACAAAATTACTACTTATGACTGGTAAGAGACAGCAGCGACCTCTCACACATTGTGCATTGGTGGTACTTGTTGTTAAAAGAAAGCTGTACTGAGTGGGAAGCACCAAGTTGCCTACACTGCATCTGCTTCTCAGTGCTTCACTAAGCAAATTTTTGCTTAGGGAGTTGAGACTTTTCTAAATCCAGAAAACCAAGTTTAGTAAAGGTCGATAGAAGCTTCCTATCAACACAAAGTTACCTCAGCTCTAGCTGGAAGATATTTTTAAGATAAGTAGCATTTTGCTCCTTGCATCCAACCCATTTCCCAATTGTAGGCACTAGCTCTATTAAAACTAGGTGCTAAAGGCTTAT